TGTCTATCCTGCCCAGCCAGATATCCAGATGTATTCTGACAAGAGGAATCCACATCCCTCTGACCTACTTCTCTCTCTGACTTTGGTCAGTTGCAGACGAGAATTCCTGATGAGCTTTTCAAAAGTCATCTCAGAACTATGCACCCATAGTTTTAAAATAAGATCTTTGATGAGTGTATGAGCCAGCTAGAGCTCATGACACCTAACTGCAGTTGTTTAAATGCAGGTTTCTACTTATGTTAGGTGCCAAAGCTTCCATTATCATAAGTGAACATCCAGCTAGGGCAAATCTAGAGATCAAAGTTACTCCTCATACATCAGGAACACAACTCCATTTCCAACTCCTTAGTTTACTTCTTGTGCCATTCAGGTTATTTTCCATAGGGGTACAGGGGTCTTACAGGTTTCATTTTGTGTCTTCCAACTTAATGTCATTGTCCCTTGTATGCAAGGGCAGTTTGTGTGACATTAGACACCTGAGTTTGTGAATTGATCTTATATATCTGCAATGATGTTGCAGATTTGGATTCAAGCAGTGTGAAATAGTTCTGTGAAATAATATACTGCACATAATGAGATGCTGTTAAGAGAGGTTGGGTCCTGGAAAGGAATGCTAACTTGTTGATTTAAGAAGGTAAATGGCAAAGACAGTTTTCTTGGTTTAATATCACACACAAAAAAAAATGCTCTGTTAAACCCCATGCATTCTGTCCCATAGATCTGGTTGAATAGAACAATCACTCTGTATTTTCTGAATGTAAACAAATCATAATTTAATTGGGTTTTCTTACAGCAGTTGTAAAGGAAGTTATTAGCCGTTCCCCATTTCCAGGTCAATGCACATTGGACTGTTTTAAACACCATCCTAATGACATTCCTCATTGGGCCTGGGAAGAGACAATAAATTCAAAACATAGTTGAATCTAGAGAACTTAACTTTTCAACTGAGGTGACAAAATCTGGGGGAAGATGCATGGTGGTAGAAGAAATATGTGCAGATAGTGTACAGACAGTCTGAGGGCCAAGGCCTTAGTGCTTCAGAAGGGAAAGAATCAGGCTTTTCACTAGTTCAGATAATTAACATTAAGCAATGGAATCTTAGTATAGCTGAAACACATTTGAATAAGCCACTAAAAGCACAAACGATACAGGACTTGAGCTCTTGGCCAGCTGACACATTCACCACGCTTGGGGCTCACAGGCCTGTACAAGAGGGAGACCTGAACTTTTCTGAGCCTCTTACAGCATTCTTGTAGTTCAAAGGGATTGTTACTTCTCTTCATCTTCTTTCCAGCTGAAAGTGCCCTGAGAAAAGTGAGAGCCATGCTACAGACCAGTAGAATGACCTGTATGAGGAGGAGGATATTAGCTGAAAGCCATGAGAGCATCAAGAGATCATGTGAAAGAGCATGAGAAAACCGGCTCGTGAAAGAGTATGGAGGAGTGTACTGTGCAGATAAACACAGTCCAGGCCTTATCTCTGAACACACTACTTGGAACAGGCACTGGAGAGAAAAAAGACCTGTATGCAATGTCCAGATTTAATCTCAGAGTATCAGTCAGTTTACTCGAGAAGAAAATGGCCAAATATTGGCCCATAGTCTGTGGCCAATGGAACTAGCAGGGCCCTGGATTGAAAACTGTAACGTACCAGATTAACATTGCAAATGTACTTGAGGAATTTCAGTGTGAAATTTTACTTTGCAATTTATTTCTGTCTTGCTTAGACCTATTCCTGCTCTCTTTCATGAAAATCCAAATAAACCTCATTTCACCCACTACTGAGTCTATTAAATATTGCAGATATAAGCTAAATGAGCTCAGTTCATTGAAAACAAGCTTAGGTTTATATAAAAGGACATAAATGCTGATTAGCCATGAAAAAAACCCCACCACCTGGTAAGAATGTAGTTGCCTATTAAAGAAAAGCCAGTTTTGCTGTAGGATGTCTTGGCTCATGACTTTTTATTTCAAAATTTCTCTAGTAATGGAAGTTCCAAATGACACTTGAGATCAGGGCACCCTAGCTGTCCAACAGCAATCCACTCAGTATTCCACTACCTACAGCTGCCAAGATCCTATTCTTCATCAGTTTGGCATGTCTGAGAAGTCTTTCTGACAACACAGGCTCAGCCAGGAGCAAAGATAGATGGAAAACAGTGATTGTTCGGGATTAGGTCTCTTGTTCTATTTACTTAGGTAGACAGATTCTAAGTGTCTGCCTGTCTTTCATGACACCTGAAACCTTTGTGAATATTGGAAACTATTCCATGGATTAGACTGTCAGTGGCATGTATTCTGCAATATAGTTTTCATCAGATCTTACTACAGTGCTGTACCCAAGATTTACGCTGGAATTCAAGTTCACAAAACTCCAAAGCTGGAATTTTCCAAAGCACATACAATACAAAGAATAATAAAATATACTAAAATTTATTACAAATGACAACTTGCCTGGAAGGTATTGACAGGATGAATGAAAGAGTCTTCCTGGAATACTTTCTTCTCCGAGATACACTGAGGAAGATCAAGTGGAGAAAAAGCACAAAAAACAGTCACAAAAAAGAAACAGATAAATGGCAACCTACAGGGCAAATTTTTACTACAGATGCAGGTGGGCATTTCTAACTGGGATGGAGAGGGCATCCTCCTTATGATAATCATTTATGTACAATACTTGCCTACAAATTCCTTTTCTATCTGTTCGCTCAGTGCAGCACAGGCCTCCATTCTTTCCTCCTTTGTTTTTGTCGCCCAATCATTTTGCATTTCAAGACACAGTCGGTAAGATGAACTTTTCCCCTTGACTTGTTAAAAAGAGAGAAAAGAAGAAAAGGAAAATATGAGAATGCACAACAGAGGAATCACTGTTTGTCAAACCATGTTACTGAGAATGCAAGTGCTTAGAAATCTCAGCATCATTCACTTGCCTGCCAATATATTCAACAGTTTCCCGAAGACTTCCTTAGGATCACTCCCACTTACAGCACAGGACTGAAGGTCTAGTAGAAGAAGAGCAGGCTGATAAGCCATGAGGTTATCTGAAATAGTGTCTAAGAAAGATAAAAGTTACATCAGAGTGGGATTTATCTTACCAAACATCTGATAAGACAGTAACTGACGAATTAATGAAGATGCAGTCCCTCCATTCAGTGGAATCTGTAGAAAGGCTGAGCTCTTTTCTCTTATCCTAAGTTGTTTAAGCTGGTGAGAGGAATCATGTGCCAAAGTATTTCTCTCTGTTAACAATAAAAACACTTAACACTGAACATTCACGTCTGGACAGCTGCACAGCTATACCAGGATTCAGATGGCCTTTGTGTTCATCTTGGAAAAAAAGTTCCATGAAACAAAGTAGCAGGAGGAGGAGCAGAAATACAGTTTGAAGTAAACGGGGATTTACTAATGTGCCTCAAATATTTAATTCCTATTCTGAATTTTAAAATAAATAAGTAAATACATAAAGGAATAAGAAATGCAATGATGCTTTGAGTGAAGCCTGATGTGATTTGTTCCAGTATTACCAAGAGAGTACTGTGGGAATGCATTTTGTGTTTCATAATCATTAAAATCTAAATTATTCAGGTGAACATTTCAATATGGAAAAACAAATAAATATATATATTCTTGTTGGAAATTTGAATTTTACAAAAGGAGAAAGAGAACAGAATAACTGGTCCATGAAAGGTGCTGTGTTGTAAATTACTTTATTTTCCTTGAAGTATATTGTCAACCAGCAATGATGGTTAGTACAATATGATCCATTTGCTGTTCAATTTATGTTTGGAAGAACATGTGTCCTGACTTACACTTATTTCAGGAACTGGACCTGAGCCATTCCTGATCTGGACTTTTATGTCTAAATTTTAGGTCTAAGTTCTCACACCAAAAGAGCCACAGACACTGGCGTACTGACTGCCTGTACCGACAGACCTGAGGGTGAGCCAGATCTGCTCTTTCACATGCTCTGCCATTCCTGCCGTCCCCGAGTTTCCCAAGTGGAAAGATGAGCTGGTGTATTGCAATCTAGAGGCAGTGCTAACTCACAGGCAGTGTGGACCAGCAGGAAGTCTGGACCTAAATGTGAGTGTGAGCCTTGAATCTGGATGGTGCAGACTGCCTGTACTCTCTGGCCACAGCAGCTACACAAGAACGCAGTAACACCTTCCCAGAAGCCCGTTAGTGAAGTGCAATCTAACATGAGTGAATCGCTCCAAAATGTCAGGGTGGTTATTATAGTTACATATTCAAGATCTCACAAATCATTATGTATATGAGACACCTGGAAGCCTGGATTTCCTTGTGCCTGGTTTATATTCCTGTGAGTCCCCTAAGGAAAACATGGGGCAAGCAGAAAAGAGTGTTAAATTTAAAAAATAATAAAATAAATTTTAAAAACAACAAAGAATCACAATAACTCACCAAGCCCATACCAGGACATGTGTTCAAATGGGAAAACTCTTCTTTGTAGGAACAAGGTGAGACTGTCTTGGAAGAAATAAAAGGATAATTAAGATAAGATCCATCCAATAATTAAAATAAGACCCATCCAATAAAATAGTCATTGCCTGCCAATGAAACACATCAGGAAAGCTCGCCATGCACCTAAACACAGATATACAGTGATATTTCAGATTCCTTGGAGGATCTCAACTGCCTTGTGGCTGACACTCCAGAAGAATACTAATCTCCTGTTGGTTCTGTTCATCACTCATAACTCTACGTTCGATGTCTCATCTATCCAATGGCATCCCAGTCACCTCTATTATTCCCTCCTTTGATTGCCTCCTACCTCTGAGTTTAAGATACCATCTCTGATGCTTCCACATCACAAGGAATCTAATGTGGAGATCAGTCCACATTCGCTGACGTGATACTTTCACTTCCCCCTGTGGTACTGGCAGAGATTCACCTGACCATAACTGGACTTCTACAGTCCATACTCATCCTGCCATAGATATATATTCAATGGTGAGGCATTTCTAGAAAAAGTTTCATCACACTTTTAAACAGGCATCTAAATGTAGCAGTGAAAAGCACCTGTGAAGTTCATCTTTCTCACTTACGAACTTAAGGTGAGCAACTCAAATGTTCATAACAATGTTGTAAATGTCTAAAATGACATGCAAGGAACAGTGTTTTGTTTTAACCATTTTCAGAGAAATTCAGTTGAGGTTGGAAGGGACCTCTGGAGATCATCTAGTCCACCTCCTCTGCTCAGAGCAGGGTTAGGTACAGAAAATTGCTCAGGGCCATATCCAGCTAGGTTGTTAAATAGTCCAAGAATGCAGACTCCACAGTCTCCCTGGGAAACCTGTTCCAGTGTTCAACCATCCTCACAGTAAAAATTATTTTTCTTATGTTTAAATTGAAATTCTTGTATTTTTGAATTTTTGTTCATTGCCTCTTGTCCTTTCAGTAGATATTACTGAGAAGCATCTGATTCCATCTTATCTGAATCCTCCCATCAGGTATCTATACAAATTGTCAGGATCCCCCTGAGCCTTCTCTTCTCCAGGCTCAACAGTCCCAGCTCTCTCAGTCTCTCCTCATACAAAAAATGCTCCAGTCCCTGAATCATCTTTGTGGCCCCTTTCTGGAATCCTTCAAGTACGCTCACATCTTTCTTATACTGGGGAGCCCAGAACTGGACACAATATTCCAGTTGTGTCATCACCAGTGCTGAGTAGAAGAGAAGGATCACCTCCCTCAGCCTGCTGGTGGTGCTCCTCCTGATGCAGCCCAGGGTACCATTAGCCTTCTTTGCCACAAGGGAACACTGCTGGTTCATGCTCAACTCAGTGTTCCCCAGGACCCCCAGTTCTTTACTGAAAAGCTGCTTTCCAACTGGTCGGTCCTTAGCCTGTCCTTGTCAGGGAAGGCAGCTGATCTGCCAACAACCTGATTGAAGAGGAGTTTGACCTTGACAAGATTCCGGTGCACCCTTGAGAAAGGGAAGCTTTGCTTCAAGCAAATAACTTTTCAAGGAGCTGCAGACTACACAGCAGGATGAAGTAAACAGGGAGGAAACTGATAAAGGTTATCCAATGAGAATGTTAACTTATTGTCCAATTATATTGTGACACTCTGGCACCAGAAATATATAAAAATGCATGCTTTTAGTAAGTAAAAAAAAAAAAAATAGCCTCTTATTCACCCATGTGAGTGTGTGTGTGTTGCTTTGTCCATCTCTACAGCAACATGTCCTGGTGCCTGGGGTTATTCCTCCCCACATGCAGGACTTTGTATTTTCTTTTGTTGAACTTTGTGAGGTTCCTGTTGGTCCATTTCTCCAGCCTGACAAGACTTCTCTGTATTACCCAACCAGTCCTCCCAGTTTCGTATTATCTGCAAACTTACTGAGGGTGCACTTGGTCCCATCATCTGTGTTGCTAATGATGACGTTAAAAGTATCAGGTCTAGAATTCAGTCCTGTAATACAGTGCTAGTGCCTGGCCTCCAGCTGAATTTCATACCACTGAACACAACTCTCTGGGCCCATAAGTTTAGACAGTTTTCACTGTCCACTTAGTTAGACCATAATTCCTCAGTTTGTCCATGAGAATGTGATAACAGACTGTAAAAACCCTGACTAAGAGCACAGTAAACAGCATCCGATGCTCTCTGTTCATCTACCAAGACAGTCATCTCATTGTAGAAGATTTTTATGTGGGCTAAGCATGATTTGCTCGTCATAAATCCATGCTGACTAGACTTCATTGGCTTCTTATCCTTCATGTATTTGGAAAGGTCTTCCAGAAGGACTTGCTCAGTTACCTTCCCTGGGACTGAGGTGTGGCTGGCTGACCTTCCTGCTCTTTCTGAAGACAGGAATGGCATCTTTCTTCCAGTCATCAGAAAACTCCCACTATTGCCATGAATTTTCAAAGATGATTGAGAGTGGCCTTGCAATGATGTTAGCCAGCTCCACCAGCAATTGTATCCTATCAGGTCCCTTGGATTCCATATGTCCAATTTGTTTCCATGTTCCTTAACCTGATGCAATTTGTTTACATGTTCCCAAGGATAAGGACTTTCTTGCTCCAATCTTCTCCACTGAAGGGTTTCTCTGAAGGCCAGTCAAAGAGTGAGGCAAAACTGGCACTTAGTACCTCAGCCTTTTTCATGTCCTTTGTCACCAGGACTCCTGCCACATGCAGCAGCAGGCCTACATTTTACCTAGTCCTCCTTTTGCTGCTGATATACCTGTGGAAGCCCTTCCTGTTGCCTTTCACAACCCTCACCAGATGTAGTCATGCCTGACAATTCAGGTCTCACTTGGGAAGTTTCCTTAGTGCCCTTGATGAGGAGCAGTGTGGAGTAATAACCTGAGGGCCACACAAGCAATGGGTCCACAAGGTCTCTCAAAACCAAATCCCCAACAAGCAGCAAATCCCCCTAGACAAAAGATTAGATTGGCAGATGGGGGCATGTGTGTGTCTCCACTGTAGCATGAAGCATCTCACTCTTATAACTCATCACTTCCTTCTAATGGTGGTCAGGCTCATCTGACTCTCATGCTTCATTTGACAGAGCTCTCAGACCCTCATGCTTGCAGTCCCTCATCTTTTCTGAGCATACTAAATATATTCCATAATTGCAAATCTTCAGGTGGAGCAGGAGCATTCCTCCAGTGTCAGAAGTCACCAGCTTCCAACTTTTTCAGTTGTGAATCTGCACTTCCCAACTGGATATCCACAGAGTGCTTCTGCTTTGACACAGTTGAAATTTTCAACTGAACAGTCAGTCTTCAAGCTGAACAGTCTTGGATAATATCTGCACAATCTCTATCTTGTCATCTCTGATGTTGACAAATGGAGTCCCAGTGGGACTTCTGTTAGGCATAGCTGTATTTCTGTTTGGAACTAGAGGACTGCAGGGATTACTCAAGAGTAATGTGAAGTATGTGATCAAATTTAGAAACAACTGCTTTGATCATACCAGTAACAGAAAAAATGTAATACCTCGTATAAACTTCAGATTTTCTTCCATGCTTCCAAGAGCACTCCCCCATAGGCCTAAAACAAACAACAACAACAAAAAAAACAAAAACAAAACAAAAAAAAAGTGCTCAAAGTGCTTGCTTTATAATAGTCTCACTAAGAATTGAATCCAAGTTTCCCCTTTAGTAGTACACTTCTCCTACTTAACTTTCAAAATCTGCAAGACAGATGTCTAAATCAAAACTCCTTGCCTAGTCTTCCTTTACTGTCTACTGAAAGGATTATACACCTCCTGAGATTATTCACTCCCTCTTCCTCCTGCTAGGAACACACTACTCTGTGGACCAGCTTTTTATGTTACTTAAGGCCAGAATCCTATGGAAAATATTGGGTACTCTTGAGCACTTCCCTGGGCCAGCCTCATACATGAGCCTGGAGGCATAAGTACTCAGCACAGATATGTTGTGTTTATTTGTTTTTCCTACTGAGTAAATTAAATAATAAGAAGTAGAGTGCAGGGGTTTTTTGCCCTTTTTTTTTTTTTTTTTTTTTTTTTTTTCCACCTAGAGCATGATGTTAAGGGTGTATTTCTAGGATACCGAGGCATGAAATAATTAAACACAAGATGTGTTTAAGGCTGCCAGATATGTTTAGTTGTTGTCACAGACAAGTGAGATGAGATTTGTAGATATACCATTTAGGTAGGGGATGAAATGAAAAAGCGATGACCTGGACTGAAACTGTGAAGCAAAATAGGAGCTACCAGTTCTCACAGTAGTATGTCTCTAATTTTGGAAGCATCTCTCCCTGTAAAGGGAACATGCTGGGTTTACAGAACATTTAGACATCCAAGTTGGGATCAAATATAATAATATTAACAGCAGTAATCTTCAGCATAGGTCTAACTTCCCATAACAACCATAGAGAATTGGTCCATGTAGACAGTGGAGTGTAGAGAGGCATTCAGGTGTTCCAGTTTGAATGTTTAAAGTGAGACAAACTGCTCTTCAGAATTCATATACTATTATGCATGCATTCATGGAATAATAGATGTATTCTTGTTATTTACAGAAAAATACTTTTCTACAAAGCAGAATTAGGAAGATTCACCTTGCATGTAACAAATGTGTTTCTTCTTCCCCTTTTTCTTCAGTTTACCATTCTCAAATTCACTTCCAAAGTGTTTGGTACTCACAAAAGCACCCAAGGTAGTATATCCAGCCTCATGTGGAGTGAATTCAAACCAGGTCCCTGGGAAAAATCAAAGTTTTGTCACTCAGTATTTGGAAGCATAGCTGACCTCACTGTCCCAAAGTATCTTTTTGGTTGTTTTTCTCTTCCTTTCCAAAATCACCTGATACTAGCTGACAAAGATGAATTGGCATATGGAGAAAGTAGTAACCATGCTACCACCTGCTCTGTGATATACCCTGGCTATCCCTCCTACTCTGGCCTCCAGCTACCACACAAGAAAGGTCTTGTTTTCCCACAGACCATGTGTCATTGTACAGCTCTGTGCAGATCTCAGATATCTCAAGGGCCTCTCAACACTTATGTATAAGTGACAGAGCCTGCCTGTTGTAACATTCTTTAGAGTCAAAGAAGAGAAGAGACTTCACTTGATTCAAGTGCCCACAGATACATAGCTAGGAACCCCTGGTACCTAAAGACATGTGGCAAACTGGGGCCAACAGCTATGACAGAGGACTGAAAGAACACTCATACTCTTTTAGAAAGGTAGGGGAAGCAGGCAGAGTATGGTAGAACATCTGAAATGGAACCACAGGCCTCTGTGAGAGAAAGATCAATTGTTTTAACAGGTATGGAAAATAAGATTTGATAGCAATGGTGAAACTTTTTGTTGGTTGTGACTATTATCCCACACTCACCTGCCTAAACTGAAATTATTTCATAATCCCATCCTTTATCACATTTCCAGAACGAAGCTCCCAGTTCTCACTCAAGCCTTCTGGGTTTATCACCATTCCTGGCTAGTTTGTGCATTTTAAATCAAGTCCCATCACCCTAAATCAGATCCTACCATTGGTAAGTGGGAGGAGCAGTAGGAGAGACAGAGTTTTAAATTATAGTGAAGGAAAAGTTGGTTTAACGGGACAGGATAAAAGTAGTTGTCTGAAAGTAAACTTCTCCTTAACTACTGAAAAATAATATAGTTGCCTAGTTCAGTTTTAGAAGTACAGGATTATTTTGGAGCTCCACATAGGGTTGATGGATATGATACAGCATTTACAAGAGATCTGCACCCTCCTGAAAAATCAAATGGAGGCCAAGGAATCTGTGATGACACTAAATGCCTATATTGAGGCTTCTACATTTTGAAGATCTATTTTATTGACATTTTATATAATCTATTCAGCCCATTCTATTCTAGGGATGCCTCACCTTATCCTATCATGAAAGCCACTTTTACAGAATGTGATTCAGCCCCTGGAAGTGCAAGTTTTTCTCCATTATCTATGAACAAAGTCATAGGCTGACAAACGGCAATTGGATGTCAGTAAGTTAATGCCTGCCACAAAGTTAAAGGAACATAATGCATGGCATTTAACATACAGTTAGACTAGCAACCCATATTTTACCTGGAGAGTTTTCACCTTCTTTCCTCAGTGTTTCCTTATCCACTGCTGCATAAATTGGGTAAGGGTTTATTCCAGTCTCTGAGGCATCCTTGTGGTCAGCCAGCTCATTCTCATCAAACTGAAAGAGAAGTATAAACTTCTGAAGAAATATAAAATGCCCCTCCTCTCTGCTATAGCACTGAGGACAACCCCATTTAGGACACTGGATTAACCAAGGAATTGGATTAATTGCTTCTACCTTTCCATATCTAGAGATTAGATGTCATGTTCTAAAATATTGCTTCAATTTATACAACTCCTCAAAAAAACACCTGCTGAGGTCAAATTTAGTTGCAATTACTCTGAGGTCTTCAAAACACTCACGAGGTGTTTGCAAATACCTTCTTACCTGCTGTAGTATTTTGTACACAAAACAGGATGCCCAGAAGTCAGTGAGTGAGTAATGTTCATCTTTTGATGACTCCTCCAAGGATTCTTCTGCTTTTGCAATATGCCAGGAGACAGTACTGAGGTTTTTGCACAGTTCCTTTTCCAAGGACATCAAATTTTCTGACCATTTCCCATCTCCATACAGGAGTGACATGCACCTTTTAAAGAGAAAGAAAAGTCCTATCTCTAGCATAGGGAAAAGTGAATGGGGCTTTGCTCTTTTTTTGTCTGAATCTGGATGCAGATTCAGGAGTGTCTTTAAAAATATATGAGAGGAAGAATAAGTTACAGGCTTCTACAAGAGCAAGGCACTTTAACTCCTAGAAAGGTGCTGTTATTCCCTGATTGCTTACTTTCCAGCTGCACAGTCATAATATGATTTAATTAGTTAGATGACCCAAAGCTGGATATCAGTAGAGTATGTACCATATATTAAAGATATATTGCTGCAGAAATACAGATTTTGCAGATAGCATTTGTGGGAAAGATGTGAAATCTGCCAAGACACAGATAATCCATCTTGGAACAAACTTAAATGTGTAGAATGGTTTACATCACGTCATCATTTCGTACTAGAGACTTGTGACTTTTTTTTTGTCTGTTATTAGGACCAATAAAGCTGGTACACTTGCAGAGTGATATAGTCTCCACTAAATTTATAGCTCTCAGATCATGCTAGCTACCTGCAGAGATGTAAAGTCTCACTCTGTTCCAAGACCCTCTCCGCAGCCTAATTCAGGAATAAACATTACTTTCTTGATTTAGAGCAGCATGTGTCTTGACTCTGTGCAAGGAAGCAGATGTTGTGGATTACTGCAGACACCATGTATAATACCAGACAGTGACAGTTAAGGTGGCCTAACGTGTCCAAGACTTCCACCCTCTTTGGACAGACACAAGATCTGTGGAAGATCTGTGCCATCTTGAATCACCTGCTGAAAACAAGATAGGATTTATTCCTAGGGCATCTGAACTGTCACAGGAAGTCTGTCTTTAGAGAATATAAACCTATCCCCTTAAGTAAAATAGAAGGAGAGGTGTGTATGTCATATAGACATACACATACTGTCATTTAAATTTAGGACTGCTAGATTCAGAGTTCTGTCCCTACAGGGCAGATGTCTATATATGACCTATAAGCTAGACTCCCTTCACAGTCATTTCAGTGTAACGAACAATCCTGGATGTCGTTGACATGCTGCACATGGGCCTTAAGGTAAAATGGCTCATATTCCAGCATGTCATTTCTTTTCATTGCATATAAGGGAAGCCTAAAAAAGTAAATGAAGTATAAAAATTCAAGACCACAACATACATATGTAACACCATTTAACCTGCCACAAGAATGAGTAACTTCACCACAGATTTCGTAGATTTGATGCAGTATGTGCAGGAGACTCAGTGCTCTTCCAAACCTGTGGCTGGTGAAGTACCTGAAAGGCACCAGGTTGTTACACTGGTGCACCTGACTTGAGAGGTGTAGCTTAGTGCCATGGGACCCTCTTAAATATACCACAGCCTCTATTTAAACAAGCCCTTGTGCTTCTGAGTAGTATGTTACCTAGAAGTTTTCAACGTTGTCCTGGATGCTCCTCATGGCCTGTGAACAGGGGGAATTGCCTCTTCCAGAAGGTAAGACTGACTGGCCAAGTGAGGCCTTTATTTGAGCCACCATTGAGAAATGCTAATTTCTTCCTCTCTGGGGATGAAAGATCAGTCTGGCTGGACTGTAGTTAATGTTATGAATATTTCCTGTGCCTCCCACCATTGTACAGGCAAATATCTTACCTACCATATGGTTCATCTGTTGTGAGCTCAAAAGAGAGTTATGAACAGTGATGAAAGTGTCAATTTGTTATTGAATCTATGGAGCAGGAAAAACATTCACAATTACATCAGGTAACAGGCACCTACCAAGTAGATCCCGACACCCCACACAGATACATGACGGCATCCAAGAAATTCTGTTTCTTCAGCTCAACCAAGGTTCCTAGAAAAGCTATCAAGGCACGCAAGCCTCCGCCTGATCCCAGAACAACAATATTAGGCACGTTATTCTGGGGAGTGGAAGACAGAAAACACATTTCTTTTAGAACAAAGGCTTAACAAATGAACAGGGATAAAGGCTATCACAGTTCTTACCTGACCTGCTGCCTTGTTTTAAGACACATCCCATAATCTGCCTCTTTCCCCTTATTTTTCTTTTTCCTTTACATTACAGCCACAGAATGGGTTCTCCTTTGTGTTGTGCTACCACTTGTCTTCCTGATAATGAAATTTGTTGTGGCTATATTTCTGTGCCTCAGCTTCAAAATATAAATAAAACTTGAGCAGTACTCATTGTGTTTCTCTACATGGCACCTCTATTTACTTTTTATCACCAACAACTTTTTTTTTTTTTTTTTCTCCCAAAAGAGTAAAGTAGAACTATTATAGCCAACCACATCAATTTCTCAAGAAACATGTTGTACTGGATCTGGCTGGAACAGAGTCAACTTTCTTCATAGCAGCCCATATGGTGCTTTGATTTGGATTTGTATCTATAAAGCTCTTGATAACACACCAATGTTTTGACTTGTTGAGCAGTCTCTCACAAAATCAGCGTTCCTTCTCACTTTGCACTCCACCCCTGGTAAGTAGGCATAGGGTGGGCAGGAGGTTGGGAAAGGACATAGTTGTGACGGGACAGCTGACCCAAACTGACTAAAGGGATAATCCGTACCATCTAACAACATGCTCAGCAGTAAAATCTTAGGGAAATTAAGAAATGGGGATGTTTTTGGTTACAGCATTTGTCTTCCCAAGTGGTGTCACGTGTGCTGAGGCCCTACTTTCCATGGAGCGGTCAACATTTCCCTAGTGATGGGAAACACTGAATAAATCCCCTTGCCTATGCACACATCTTTGTAGCTTTTCTTTTCCATGTTAAACTGTCCTTATTTTGATCCATGACTTCTCACCCTCCTTGTATTTTCTCCCTAGTCCAGGGGAGGGGGGGTAAGCAAGGAGCTCTCTGGGTGTTTTCCTGTCAGCCAGAGTCATGCATTCCACCATGCATGCCATGAGGATAAAATGAGCTCGGAGTCAAAGATGTGTGCAGATTTATAATGTGTGTCTGTGTTCACAGCATGTGAAAAAGCGTAGGGACCAATGTTCTGATTCATTCATTGTACGTGTGTATCTGAGGATGAAAGGGTTCAAAGGTAGAGATGAATGTGTGCACAAGAATGCACAGAGATTAGAGAGATGTATGTATTCATGCTTATTAGGATGCAAACACAATAACATGGCTAACTGTGTGTCTCTTCCAAATGGTGTCTATATATCCCTATATACACATACATAGAAATATATAAAAATATACATGTATGTAAATACCTGTAAGGGCAAGTTGATTAATTAATTAATCATATGATAGATATAGGAATTGCAGCTGGGAATTCCACTGAAAATTCAGTGTCCTGCTCTCTTTTTTCTCCTTGGAAATTCCAAGCCTGAATCCTTTTCCCAGTGGACAGAAAGCCTGCACTGGAAAACTTGTGATGACAGATGATGCTTCCTAGGACTGGCACTAGGTGACATTCATATCACTGGAGTGTTATCCTTCTTTCCTTAATAGGACTCTCAGTGCTTACCTGATCACAGTGAATCCCAAGGTTCTTCAGACACATGAGTACTTTTTCTTTTCTCTTCTGAGTGGCTTTTACCTCACCTTCTGAGAGATCATGAGACAGACGGACTTCATCGCCATCCTGGCATACAAAGACAAACACATTCAGGGTAAGAATATTTCTCACTGCAAGAAAATTAATATATGGGATCCATACAAATGACCCAGGTTTCTACAGACTAGTCAGTGTTCACTCTGAGTCAACACTTAACAGCATAGTAAAGAAGATCAGGGAACTCATTTCTGTATTATGATTTAAAAACAGGATGAAAGAGGCAGTATTTATGAACCTGATAAACAAAGTGAAGAGGAAGGAACATAAAAAATTTCAGTTCTTCTAGATTAAAATGTCCTCAACCTTCTGACTGAACATAATAGTTCATTTTCTAAAAGGAAACATTGTTTAGCTTGATAGCATCTTTTCTCAATAGTAACCAAAAACCTGAAATATTTTTTCTTGTTGAAGCAATTTATCATTTCATTGAAATTCACCAGTTGATTTCCTTGAGTCAATGGTGTATTTTTCAGTTAAGAATAAATGTATAACTTGATCTAATGTTCACAGTATCCTAAAGAAATAGAGCTTTCTTAGGTTTGTATTATAGAACGGGCATATACCTGTGGCAGCATTCATCTCACTTAATCTTCAATTTCAGATTAAAATCTTCAGTCCCCTGACCCTCCTTAAACATCAGTGGAGAGCAAGAAGCAGTTCTAGAGTATCACTCCTAAACCATATTTCACACACCCCAGAGCTTCCTGTTTAACTCCACTATGAAATGCATTCATGATTAGCTCATATGTAAAAATCTATAATGCAAATGTTTAAAGTCAGATGAGACGAATCCTATCCTTGTTCCAATTCATGTCCTGGAGAGGAAGTCTCAAAAACCTGAAGTTAGTCCTTATGAATACTTTGCAGAGTAATATTAACATGAAGTACATAGAATATGCATTTTAAAAACCAATCATGACACAAGTGTCATATAATGTGGACAATGAAACAGCCAGAAGGATTAGGAAATAGAGGGGAAAGCCAGGGTAGAAAGAGCATACCTTGGTAGCCATTGAGATGTCTGTCTTTGTTTCCTGGAGACCTAGTGAAAAGGGAATGCACAGCAATGTCTTAGCTCAGAATAATTTTCAAACTGCAAAGGAGCTGAATTTATTCTCCTACTACCCTCTTTCAAGGTTAAAAAAAACCCCACCAAAAACAAACAACAAAACCCAAATAAATAAATGTTTAAAAGAAGGACTGAGTAATTATCATATTGCATAATACTAGTCATCACCTGGGATTAATGATTCACAGCCTGAGGGCTTTGACTGCTCCACCTTGTCAATATTGCAATATTGCGGCAATTTCCACGGAATGCTAGCATATGAATATGAGGTGTTTGATGCCAAAAGAATTAATAAATACTGTGTATATTCAAAAGCAACAACGACCATCACTAGCCTAAACAGTTACACTGCTTTTGGCTGTTCCTGCTTACTTGACTCTGTCTAATTAATAACATATATGAAGAAACTGTTTCAAGTTTCCAGCATTTTGCTTCCCAAGAGGACAATAGAAGCTTCCCTTTGGCCTGACACCCAACTGTTAACAACCTAACCATGAGAAAAAGATAAAGATTAGCTTTATGGGTGTGTGTTTGTGTATATAAAACCAATGGCAATATTCTAGTTCCTTGTAAGTGCTGAATGCTATTCATTATGTGTCTGCTCAGTTCCTAACATCTCCATCAGAATTTAATAGGCCACTACAGCTATTCAATAGAGGTTTAGTCCCAGTATGGCCATGCTCCAATATTATTTTTTTTTTCCTGGTACCAGGACTCATTTCTTGCAGTGCAAATATGGGTGTTCCTTAATAACAAATATTGAATACTTTGCCAACCAGTATACATCATAGTCTATTGATCACAGACAGCTGCTGGGATGGCAGTAGTGTAAAACAACATCCACCTAATTCCTCCTTCCATCACTAGAGACGAGTTTAGGACACAGATAAACTGCTTCTCAGCTGTATAGTCTAAAGCACTAGACATTTATGTAGGTGTCTCCTGTTCTACACTCACAGTCTCAGAAAACCACTATGCAGACTGCATTCTGAGTGCCCAGCACGGTGCTTAGTACAGCCAATGACTATAATAAATGGAAAACAACAGATGCATAATTCAGATAAAGTGAATTTTCCTGTGGGATATCTTAAATTAAAAACATGCTCGTTTTGTCCTTTGTTTGTGTAAGGAACATAAATATCTCAATGATTCTATGTGGAAAAAAAAATATTTTCTTGGAGTCAGGCACTTAGTGAAAAAGTAACCAAAATGGATATATAGGAAGGACAATTAGATGGAAGAGTCAACTTTTATGTGAATTTGTGTCTTATTTATCTGTACTAAAAATTCTCCCTAAGATGAAGTCTAGTTATTTCATCTTTAATATTCTTTCAAACTTTGCCCAGTTTTAACTATTGTGACATAAATTTTAAATGTGGTGATGAAAAATCACTCTCTTTACCAGATTCATGTTAGTTTTCAAAGTTTTTCACCATTTCCAGAATCTACAGTGGTAAAAAATAAGTCAAATAGTTGTGGCAAATAATATTTATGTCAGCTCCACAGAGTGCCCTTGATGCTCTTAATTAATTGCATGTATTACAAAGAATGTTGGCTCGATTGTCTAATGAGATTCCCTTGAAACTGTCCCTGTTCAGCTGGAAGGAAAGAAACCAGTTATATAGCATTGCTTTTTCCATCATATCATATATGAAACAGATTTTCCTCATTAACATGTACATCCCTAGCAGACTATTAACAGAGAGCTGGTGAACAAAGGTGCATATCCTACTTTCTGAGTATTACATTACTGCTAATACTCCCACATTGGAATAGTAAAAATTCAGCAGAAGGACTGGTGTGTACTTAAATCTTAGTGGGGTTTTTTCCTGCCTACATAAGTTTCTTCAACGAAGTATCTTGCATCTCACAAGAAATAATTTTCCTCAAAAATCCCTCTGAACATTTATAAAACATTATTACTGAACAAGGCCTCAGATGACAGTTGTTAAAAAAGGTCATGCATCCACGTCTCTATTTCACAAAATCAGGTTCTAGTGAATAACACAAACCATTTGTACCACTGTAACATGGACCTTGCACCTTATGCCAGTTTGTACCAGCTGGGGTCTGGTCAGGAAGGGGGGCCCTGCTTTTGCCAGGCCATGGAATGGACAGTGCCTGAAGCAGAATCTCTGCCCATCAAGGGTTATAACCAGAGAACAACATGTTCAACCTGCCTGCCATTCCATAATTCAGTGAGACACCGGTGTGGGGGATGAATGACCCCAGGATTTTTCTAGGTCTGCCTGAAAGAAACCTTCTCAAGAAGCTCACTCCAATGCTCTCAGGCGGAGTGCCAAGCAAGTGATAAGGTGCTCATCTCCATCCTTTAAATACACATTAACGTATCAGTCCCAAGCAAGCTGATATAATTATATCAGAGAACCATATTGCATAGAGATTCTAGGTGGACCTGGTAAGCCATAAAGATACCTCACTGAGACTACTGAAGAACCAGTAGAGAAGAACAAGGATATGGCTAATACCGAAACATAAACAATAATACATTGAGGTATTGTTGGGTTTACACTGAGTATTTAAGAGAGAACAATTATAAACTTGTTGCAGAAGGTATAAGGAAACTCACCAAGAAAATGCAAGAAAACCCAGAGAAGTCACCATGTATCAACAAATACAAAGCTCCTGCCCAATCTCAGTTTGACTTTTGTTAATGAAGAGCAACATCATGACACTGAGTTGCTACCATTTGATTTGTGACAGCAGCCCTCTGGTAGGTGCCCACTTTTATTAATTATTTGCAAAGAAAGTGGCTGCAGTACAGAGAACTGTGAATAGTCAGAGGAGAATAGGGAAAATGAATCCTAACCCCAGTGCTCTCACAACATTATCCTGCCACAGCTTGTTGAGTCAGGACTCCTCCCTCATTTCATGCGTGTTCCAAACAGATACCTGCACAAGATCTGGAAAGGCTCCCCTCCTAGTCAATGGAGAGATTTAGGGATTTTAGTGCAATTAACTGGAGCTAATTCCAGTTTAACCTGACAGTAATCATTCTGCCACTGCAGTGCCCTTGGAGCAACAGGCTTCCAGCTGCAATGCCAGAGAGGAGTGAGTTTCATCTATGGTGTGTATCAGCCACACATGAATGGCTCAGATGCCTTTGGGTTCTTAGAATGACACCATACACTTAACATGCACCCTTAACATTTAGGTAGAAGAACCTTAAACTTTATGCATCAATAAAACAAATGAAAAACATCTGCTTTTGTCTGTATTGCCAGGGAGATGTTTTAAATGCAGGGGTTTTTCATCTGCACACTCTGGTGTATAGGCTACCAACCACAAAGGTTGTACTGTTATCTTCGTACACTACAGATACTTGAAACATGAAAAGTTTTTTCCTTCCTTTCCCTTTGAAGATTGCTGTCAATCCAGAGAGAAAGACAAGATCTCAAAATTATTTTGATAATACAGTGTATTAGTATTCATCACAGTCACTGCAACTGCTTTCTTCAGTGTGATGAATCCTAACCCCAATATTCCTAAACGTGCCACCTGTTAGGTCATGTACACTGGTCACTGTCACTTGTATGTTCATTACCCACAAGCCAAACAAAACCACATTCAAAGTTATGCCTTCCTAAGATCAGCAGGGATTCATACTCGTGTGTCTTAGTAAGGCCTGAGCTTTTTCCTCTGCTCTATAAACATCTGTTTTTTTTTTCCCAAGGTGTTAATATTTCATACATTTCTCTGAGCATTGCACATATAAGAGAGAACATTTTTGTCTGTTTTCAGCTATTTCATGCACAAAATTATGAATAAAATATTAATTCACAAACAAAAATATTCAATGAAGGATGGTAAATGAGAGAAATTGTGGAGAGAGAAGGCAGGCAGATAAGCTATGGCAGATGGACACTAAATTTATTTGCTTGTTTAAAACAGCCACAGTAAGTTTCTTCTCTAGAAAGCACAGCTATATTGTATGCTGACTTCAGGAGGAAGAGCAGCTCACTCTCGATCTATCTATTCCTCTCCACTACCCATAAAAGAACCCCTGCAGGCAAGGTTCACCTCATTGTTTAGATATCAGATTAAGATCCCTGGAGTTCTTTCCAGCCAACATTTCATTTTCTTTCTCTCTCCATGTATAAAAAGATTGGTGCAAGTATGATACTCTCTTCTTTTCCTTTCTATGGCCACAATCTTCTGGACTGAAACATACATTCTTCTCATGCTCAATCAGACAGGGTTTCTTGCCTCTTTTTGCTCTCAAAATCTCCAATATATTACTTTGTACACATGTGTTTTCCAAGTTAAATTTAGGAACATATCTCAGGAACACCAACAGCTTTTCCAGAGGTTTAGAAATCCCAATATGTTCTTGTTGTGACATTTTATATGAATGTCTATTTGCAGAAACTTAGCAAGATGATAGAGAAAGGCTCATGATGCCAAGTTATGTCTAAACATAGAGCTGTTTGGCTAGGTCTGTCATTTACCCTTCAGGGATGGTAATCCCCTCACCTTCCAGATGGACAGTGATGTGATAATGTGTCCTTTGGATCTTATTGGAGGAATCCCCTTCAATTTAAATGTCATCTGCATATTGATATACTATCTCCACTGGGATCTGTTCTAACTCCTGAGCTAAACCTTAATTTGATAATACAGGGCTATGTATGTATTCATGAGGTAACTAGGTAAAAGTGTACTGAATATCAGCCCAAGTAAGCCACTCTTGACCCTCAGGTTTTAAGGGGTCCATGAAAATCGTATCTTTTATATCCACAGCAGCCATCTAAGAATGGGTTGTTTGCTCTATAGTAAAACATGTGATAGATGAGGTGGTAGTGTGTAGGGGTCCACTATTTTTATTCAGTTTACCACCTAAAGCCAGGTGCCATTAGGTTTGCTAAAAGGCTACAGAGAGGAATTACACAGGAAAAGAGTTTTGTGAGTAATACCCTGTAATTC